GTCGGGGGGTGGGGTGGGGTGGGGTGGGTACAGGCCTATGACAAGACTATGACAAGACTGTCATGCAGTGAGGCTATGCTCTCCCTCATCAGCATCTGCCTGAGTAATCAGCGATCACAACCCCATTATCCCCATCCATTCCCCTAGCCCCATCTCACATCCGGTACAACCTGGGCTTAAGCTTGATGTAGTCATCTCTTGTCCCTAGGCCTAAGGGTCCTCAGGAAGTCCCTGGTCTTCCATGGGTCTGCCTACCCAACCGTCAAGGGAGCATGTCACAACGTGGTGGCTCTTTTCTTCTAGAAGGATCTAAACAGGTACAGCTCTTACTAAGGGCAACATTCAGGTCACCCTTCTTAGGTTACATCCATCTTGACAATAACAGTAACAGAGCTCCAAGAGGGGTGACTCACAGCCGTGCTTTACGGGGAAACAAGGCTAGTGGGGGGAATTCCTAAAGGCAACAGCAATGATATAGTGACTTAAACATTCCTCTGAGATCCTTGTGGCTTGTCCGAGGGAGGGAAGATTGTTTACACACATAGAGCATGAATGACCTAAGAAGTGAGTCCATTGGCAGACTGATGTCCACGCTTCGGCGGCCCCTCAGCCACCTACACGCCATGGCTGCATTTACACAACTCCAAGCAAGACACAAATCCCCGTGTAGGAATCAGCACGGGAATGAAGACAGAACGTGGCGGTGGGTCCACACGTGTGGGTGAGGTTCTGAGTCCACAGAGGGGCCTGCGGGCCTGTGGCCCTGATCAGCCACAATGCCTTTCTACTTGGCCATTTTAGAAAAGCAGACCGAGAAACGCTCCCTCACAAGCAGATCGGAAACAGAAACTCTTTTTCTGGATGAGGACAGAACTCGTTTTTGGATACCTAACTCGAGCGCCCAAATTAGGTGTGTTTCAATTAAAGTGAGTTCTGTGAACTTCCCCAACCCCCAGTTGAAAGCCTCGTAAAGAGTCTTCCAGCAACTTCTAGGGACTGTTGGCTGCACTTCCCCCAGCCCCGCCCACCCCACCCCACCCCCACCCACCCCCACATCTGTTTAGAAAGCAAATTGCACTGGGCGGATGATGCATTCGCCAGATGAGTGGGACATGCCCCCCGGCTGAAAGACTTGAATGTGTTCAAGGGGTGCAGGAGACACAGATGTCAGACACACCTTCCTAGCCTATGAGCCTCTGACGCACACAGGGGCGACGTTGCCTCTGACTCACTAGGGGGTGGGGGAGCAGGCTGCCTGCAGACCTCTGCAGCCATCCTGGCCCTTTGGAGTGTGAAATTTCAATTTCTACATCAGAGTTTTCTATTTGTGCCCCCCCCCAAGAAAGCTTTATTCAAGAATTATGTTGATGCTTTCCAGGTTAGAACTATAGCTGGGGGGAACCAGAAGGGTAGTAGAAGGAGTAATTTCTACCAAGCTCACGTCCAGTTCGCAATAGGCCATTTCCACTTCCAAAAGGTCCCACTCTGCAAACCCCATACTGTTCAAGCACTGGAGGTTGACCAAAACCCCAACCATCTCTGTGGCAGGACCATAGCAGAACTACATGTCCAGGATAGAAGGCAGCCCACAAGAGGCACGTTGCCCTGAGTGTCTACAGAGGCAGGAGAAACCAGGCCTGTGTGTTACCCAAGATTATCGTCCCATCAGGCCCCTCATCCCATGTGACTCCGGTGACATGGCCAATCCTCCCTGTTCATCCATGCCCAGGTCTTCCCACCATGCCTGCCCTCAGCCTGCCTCCAACACATGCCATCTCCATACATGTGCTTTCCAGCCACAGCAAATCAATCAACATGAAAAGGCAGCTGGGTGAGTCACTTCTGCTGTAGTGTTCTATCTTTAAAATATACCCTGTCTATATCCCAAGAGATAGACACATCCATGCGTACACACCGCACTCAGTACAGTCCCCGGTGGGAGGAGATGGAACAAATCAAGAACTGTGACCCTCGGTACAGAGGTGACCGGGGCTACCTCACCTCTACTCACAGCCACTGCCCCCTTGGAGTTTCTTTCCTGGTTCACCACAACACAAATTCTGATGCTTCAGTTACAGGGCGGCCCAGAAGGAGATGTCTGAAGAGCTTCCCTGAATTTTAAATGATTACAGTTTGTCTCACAGTCAAGGGCAGTCAGGCCTGTCCTTGGGAGTTCTTTGTAAGCCAGTCCATGAAATCCACAAGAAGGAATTTGAGCCCTGGTCGATCTGAAAGGATGGACCCATCTCAGGATACTGAGGCAGTGGGCTCATGAGGCCTGGAGACTGACAGGAGAGAGGGGAGGAGGAGCCCAGGGCCTGCTGAGGTCAGAGGAGGTGGTGGTGACCTCACTGGAGTCCTGGTAGCTGTGGCATCCAAATTCCCAAGGACAGTGGCAGGTCAGAGCCAGAGGATGGAGCAGAGAATCTGGTGTGGTTCTCACCCTCCCCTGAACAGCTTGGACCGAGATGCACCTGCATTTTACGCTATGTTTTCTATGAACAGAGGTGTAAATTCAGAGCAGGGGAATCTGAGGCAGAGTCGTTAGAGAGCTGGAGAACCAGGAGACCTCCTCGGGTCAAACAAGCAGACTCCCTGAGGGACCAGGTAACGGGAGTATGGGGAGTATGCGGCCTGAGCAACAAGAGATATTAGGCTTTGCCAGCATCTGAAATGCTGATTGAGTGGCATGTATGTGAATGTTTACAGGAATAAGGAGAATCTGTGTGGACAGAAGCTAAGGAGGGCGAACTGGCTGATCTGGGAAAGGCCAAGTGTGTCAGCATCACGTGAGGAGGCAGAACCTGGAACACCTAGACTAGGAACCAGCCAGACTTCTCCCTGGACAAACAGATGGCAGCTTGTCTTTGTGTTACGCTGCGGGGGGAACCCTGCATGTAGAATGCCATAGTTGGGAGCCAAGCACCCATGCCTCTCAGCACAGCAAGGACAGCTGTTGCCAGGCTGCAGGGTCTCCATGGAATGGAGTCCCCACATACACACCACACACAGGACAGGACAGCATAAACTCACACGTTGTCCGGCTGCAGGGTCTCCATGGAATGGAGTCCCCACATACACACCACACACAGGACAGGACAGCATAAACTCACACGTTCACAGCACATGCTGCACACCACGCAAACTATACCAGCACCACGTGCAAGTCATGCACAGTCCTCACACAGTCAACCACAAACCCACACAAACACTACACACACACACACACACACACACACACACACACACACACACACACACACAAATTACATATGCCACAAATAGACCACACATGTATGCATATAACGCCCATACCAGAAACCTACATATACACACCTCATGCTACACACACGAAACACAAATAATATGCATCAGAAACACACCACCTACACACATGTATGTAACCATATACCACATGCTACACCACACGCTACACATGCCCTACACACGGGACAATACACAAGGCACATAGTACACATGCCAGATAATCAATGTCCTCCTCACTCTTGCCCTCTACACCCACAGAGAAGTTGGGAATCTCTGGCAGTTGGGACACTGTCTCTACTACAAGTGAGAGGAAGGACTTCTCCCCCAGGCCCTACTGGAAAGGGTCCTGGAATCCTATGTAATAAGGAAACTCTTGATTCCCACTCTTTATCAAGGAGTACTACCCTGGCCACGTGGGGCTGTTCTCTGGCTGAGCACATAGGGCTCTCACCATCATAGGCTGGGATTGGAGGAGCCTGTCAAATCTCACGCCCGTATCTCCAGGAGTCAACTCAGCCCTTCTGCTGACACGCATCCCCTGGCACCACCACTTCCCATGGAAAGGCATGGTGTCCACGGTGTGGCCAGTGCCAAGGAAGTCTTCTGAGGTTGGGACCCAGGGCCCCCACTGCAGGTAAGTCATCAAACAAGCTGGAGCACTCCCTGGGCTGGTTAAACTCTGGCTCTGTAACTCACTGGTCTGTGGCAGGGCCCCCTACACACCCGAATAGGCTCCTCTGTAACAAGGCAGCGAGTGGCTGCGCCATGATGCACGCCATGCCTGAAAACCAACCAGCATTCTAGCAGCTTTGCAATCCATGCCTACAAACACCGCTAAGAGCTCCCGACTAGGGTGACTTCCAAGGCATTAGACACCAGCTCAAAGGAGAACTGGAAGGCCAGTGGCATGTGTTCAGGCCCTGAAGGGTCTTAACCAGTCATCCAGCGTAGCTCATGTCGAAACAGCATGAGTCTCCCATACCTCTGTGGGTTCACCTTACTCCTCCCATAGTCTCAATCATGCTCAGCTCCACCCCTTAAATCAACTCCCCCAAAGAAGAGAATGTGGCCTGTGGTATGCTGGGTAACTGCCTTTCCTGGGCTCAAGGGTTACCTATCTAAGGAAACCGAGCAGCTGGAGAAGGATTCAGAAGCCAGCCCAGGGCGCATGCCTTAGGGACTGGGTGAATGAGCCAGCTTTCCCGCCATCACAGTATTCAAAGCAGTAGCATGCTGCACATTCACTCTGCAGATAACACTGAAGGGTGGGAATTATTAGCTCCACCAGGCCACAGTGAGAGCAAAGACATGGTCTCATCGCCTCTCTTAAGTCTTACTGTGGAGATTTCTCTGCTCAAGTCTGTGTCTTGTTTTAAAAGCTTCTCTCAATCCTGCGGCAGTGTGCTGTTGATCTGCACACGCTCCACCCTGTAGAAAGGTTGGGGCAGGTTTGCTGACCCTCCTGGTCAATAAGTCATAAGGAGTAGAGCCTTGCTGGACTGAGTCACTTCACAATCACCAAAGCCCTCTGCATTCCAGATACCCAGAGCCTCTGGACTATGAGATGAGCAACACTGATAGCCACACCACTCAGCACAGCTGCCCTGGAGGCCAGAGAAGTGCTGGGAGCTGACGATGTTTACAAACTGCACAGCTGAAGGCATCTGCCATGGGTGATTCACAAATAAGTTTATTTGCCATGGATGCTCTGCTAAACACAAGCAGATCCCGAGACACTGTGTGTCACTAGCACAAGCAAACTATCTGTAGGTCATCTCTCCTCCACCCAGCTCCCCGACCCCCCCCTCCATGCCGGAGGTGCTGTTTCCAGAAAAATCTTTAGCTGTGAGTCCCAAATGTTAGCCACAGCCACTCACTCAGCTGATGACAGTGGATCACTGCTTTCTACAGGAGCTCTGGGTGACATCACGGCAGGGGAATTTTACGTCTGGAGATTCCTTACTGTAATTCCGCCATGTTTTCGTGGGGCAGTCGGAAGGTGTGGTCCCAAGGAACCACAGTGCCCGCTTCTAGAAGCAGGGGGGCATCAGAGCTCTACTCTCTGAAGAGTCTACAGCACAGAATGGACAACAGATACCATCTACAGCCTCGAGGCAGTTCCGTTTCCTGCATGGAAACCGATATCTTCGGGCTCCACGCCCCGTTCTCTCGAAGGTCACATGAACACAGTCTTCAGTCCATGTGGAAATGAGATCACAAGACAGATTAAAGAGGGTTCCAGGGCGCTGTCCCCGGACTTGCGCTGTCCCCAGCTCATCAAGGCAACTGTTTATGGAAACCGCCTCCTCTTCAAACACTTCCTTCCTTAATCACCAGCACGTGCATGTGGAAAAACCTAGCCGGATAAACCCCGGTGCAGCGGCTCCGCAGCGGCTCAGCTCTACTGGGTACTCGGTGTTTGTTTTCTACGGCGCTGAGAGTTTATTCCTGCCACCCTCCTCACCACCAGCTGTGTTTCCTGGGCTGGGAGCAACCACAGCGGCATGCTGGGTGTGGAGTGAAGGGAGGATTTCCGTGAAGAGCTTTACATGTCACAGTATGCCGGTGCACACGACAGACTTGGTCTCCACCATCCTGGGTGACTAGAAGTCCCATGATGCCCCTCTGTTGGCCTAAGAAGCAAAGAGCCAGTATATAAATTCCAGACCAAGACTGAAGTCCTAGGAGCCACAAGTGCTGGGCTGACTGTGTGTCCCGTTAGGCAGACACCAGCCAGCCTTGCCACGGCTTTTCCTTCCCTCCAGGCCTTTCAGAATGGTATGATGCCCCATGAAGTCTGCCCACTGAAACGCTCACCTTTCCAGAAACACCCACAGACACAATAGGAAAGAAGACCTAACTAGCCAGGTGGGCACCCTGTGGCCCCATCCATCTGCGATGTCAAACTAATCATCAGACATGGTCTGTGTCTACTGTTCAATTCTGCTGCCACCGTGAGAAAGCAGCTGGAGATGGAGTGTGAATGCATGCCTGGGGCTCTGCATTAATGAAACCTACATTACATGGGCTGGGGGCTAGTTAGAGTGCTTGATGCATTAGTGTGAGCATGTGAGTTCAGATCCCCAGCGCTCAATAAAAGCCAGGCTCCTGAGTCGGTGGAAGACCCTGCCACACAGAACAGGATAGAGAGAGACTGCAAGGTGTTCAGTCCTGAAAGAGGGCCACATCACAGCCCCTCCTCCTAAGGCTCAGGAAGAGGAGGCAGAGAGGTCGTAAGAGCCGCCGGAGGTGATGACTAACGTCAAAGCTGAGTTTTCCAGACACACAAGGGCAGCTGGACATGTAAACTCACCGCCATTGTGATGGTTGAACAGGGAACAAAGTGAAGCCAGGCAGATGCCAGCATAGATGGGAAGGTAGGCTCCAAGTCCCATCCCCAACTGAGGAGCTATTGATAACTGATGTCAGCAGGGCCACACAGCCGAGAGTATTGATAACTGATGTCAGCAGGGCCACACAGCCAAGAGTTTATCGATGGCCCAAGTTGGACTCAATGGTTTTTGTTTGTTTTCAGTGAGGACACAAAGTTGAGTGGGTATGGAATGGGCAAGGTCTAGAAGAGATTAATATGATCAAAATAAATGTGAAATTCTCAGAGAATTTATATATTTAATCAAAATATATAAAAATAAACTTAAAATATAAAAACTAAAAAAAAAATAAAGATGGAGAGAGATAGATGCAGATACCCAATGTCCATCTCTGGCCTCTACATGCACAGACACCTGTGCACACACACCACATACATATGCCATGCACATACAGACACGTACTCCAATGCATGTACCCAGTGAGTTGCTCTGGTATCGGTCAGTGCAGCTGGGGATTTTACAATCACATTTATCTGCACATTCCTTTTTCATTTTTGGTTTTCTGAGGTAAGGTAGCCCTGACTGCGCTGGAACTCACTCTGAAGACCAGGCTGGCCTCAAACTCAGAGATCCGCCTGCCCCTGCCTCCCAAGTGCTGGGATTAAAGGTGTGCACCACCACTGCCCAGCTGCATCTTCACATCTCAATAAGAGAAGCATGTTTGGCGTGGGAGCATGCTCTCTGTGTCATCATGATCTTCCTCACATGTGAGGAAATGTTTCACTGTGCCTGCTGTGAAGCCCAGTGGAGACGCTAACACTGGGGACTTTCAGGAGCAAGTGAGCTGCACATGCTTTTGATTTTAATAAGGCAAAGAAGCTTCTAGAAACAACAAGTCTTGGATACACAGATCTTTTTTTCTCTACTGCTGTGTGAAATAATCTTAAGCATATTTTACCACATGGTGAACATGCCTAGGATTCGCTAGAAAGTACCCTTCTGGCTTTCAGTAGCATAGGCCAATTATATGGACACAAAAGCACAGTACAAGGCCAGGCATCTGGAGCAAGCTGAACACATGGGAAAACCAGATCAAACTTCTTCCATTCATCACACACCTGCATACCAGTCCTGGCTATCTGTCTACTCAGGTCACCTGTCCCCAAGCAGCGTTTATCATTCTGGTCCCTGGAAAGCACGTGAGCAGGATGTATTAGGACTTTCTCATAGGGACCACCAGCCTGCAAATAACGACATGGAGACTTATTAATTATGAAAGCTTAGCCATTAGCTTAGGCTTATCTCATGAGCTCTTCTAACTTAAATTAACCTTTTTATTAATTTTAAGTTTTGTTTTTACTGCTTTTATTAATCTACATTCTGCCACGTGGCTCCATTACCTCTACTCTGCACCATCGTCCTACCTCAGGACAATGAACTCACTCTGAAGAGTTCATTCAGCATCTCCCTGGCATCTCCTGCACACCTAGACTTATTCTCCTCTTCCAGAAATCCCACCTAACATCTTCCTGCCTAGCTATTGATCATTCAGCTCTTTATTAAACCAATCAGAAGGCACCTTAGGCAGAGACACACCTTTATAGTGTTTGCAAATATTCTGCAACAGCAGGAATTTCTGCTTGTGGAGCCTAAGAAGAGAGGAAACTCAGCCTGCTGAGGGCCTCTCCAATCCTGGGTCATTTCAGTACATTCAGTGTCCTCTGGTTCTCAACTCCCTTCTCTGTGGATGGGTGGGAACACTTCCCTGCTTCTTGCACAGGGTGGCAGGGCAGAAGGGAGGCAGGGCAAGCCAAAGGCCTGGGTGTGTGCTCTCCATCGGCACCCTTCCTAGGGGCAAATCTGTTCATGTGATGCAAACATGGCCTTTCCCATGCTCAAACAGATGATGGTCATTCGCTGAGGGAAGAACTACACAGGACAACAGGCTAGTCTGTGCTGTAGCTCAGAGTGTCAGGTGGGTTCATTGACAGGCAGCTGTCCCCACTTTGTCCCACTTCCAACTCAGGACTGACCAGAAAGAGCTAGATGAGCCTCCAGACACATGGGGTGCCCCACAAAGTGCCACACTTGCCTGAGCTGCCCCAGCTACCTGGGCTGGCAGCTTCCAACCAGGGATCCCAGAACCTCACCTGAGCTGAACCTGAAGCCTTCACTCAGAGCATCTGGGGGTTTCACACACCCCAAGTCTTCCCCTTACTGGTGTCCCAAGGGTGGTCTTTATTGATCTCACACCCTCCAGCACCCTCTTATTCTGAGCCTCTCCAGGCACCATCCAGACTAGCTCTGAAAAACAGCTTTAGAAATGTGTGTGAATAAAGGAGCACACACCCCTAGGACCTGGACCAGACCTAGGCCCTTGAGCACAGAGGGATCCGGTCCAGCTTCACAGTAACCCATCATGCAAAAACCTACCCCAACCCTCCCAGGCTCAGCACTCCCAATGCTTCCCCACTCCACCTCCTGTGTCCACTCATGAACCAGGACATGACCCTCACAGTGCTCTGTCAAGCCTCCATGACTGTCCAATGCAGACACTTGGCTCATGCTCAGTCTTCGGCGGCCTCCATTGATCATGCGCACATGCACAGAGTACACTGACCCTCAACCAGAACAGAGAGTTTCACCCACTGCTCTAGTGCTTTTCAGTCTACCCACAGCTCTCCCAGCTCCAGCCGTCAGTAGCTCTCTCCTGATGAAGAGAGCCCTCCTAATTGGACCCTGAAGTCCTGCATTCCCTCCCTGGCCTCTGTCTTCCTCTTAACAGCCATGATTGTCTCTAAAGTTCAAATCTCCTCAAGCCTTTTAGGCATTGGCCAATCTAATAGGGAAGGCAGATGTGAATCAACTGACCTCGAGAATGAAGAGATTCAAGCCATCCAATGCTCTCAAGGGTCATACCATGGCCCTCCCATCCAGGGCCTCAGCTGGGTTCCCAACTCAAAGGATGCGTGAGTTGTGTATATATACATACACACACACACACACATATATATCTGAAGAACACACACATACACACACACACTGTTGCAGGCTGATGTCTGTGTGAGTCTTTGCTAGTTAACGTTCTGGTTCTTTGTTTTCATCTAATTTTGGGGAGCGGGTTGCATATTAATTAATTTGGTGACTTCCAAACTGCTGTGGATCTGTCCAATCTTAGTTTGTGTAATAAGGTCGTTTCATTAGACTTGTCTGTTATTATCCTGTTGTGACAATTTCTATCCACAAAGACACTTACAGTCTCATTGGCTTTGTTGGCCTCATGGTTCTACATGTCCACCTTTGATGTCCTTGTCCTTGTCCCCTCCACAGCCTTTCCCTAGCCTTCTGTGGGGAGAGTATTCTGTCATCCTCAAGCCTGGAACATTCTCCTGCACCCCCCATCTGTCATCCACCACTCTTGTTATTTCACTCAAGCATCCTTTGAGTTGGGAACCCAGCTGAGGCCCTGGATGGGAGGGTCATGGTATGACCCTTGAGAGCATTGGATGGCTTGAATCTCTTCATTCTTGAGGTCAAATGATTCACATTATATATATAATTATATCATACTGTGCACACACTCACACATGTGAACACTCACACATACATAGAGGCCAAAATGCATGTCAGATCACCTCTAGTGTGAGCTGGAGTTCCAGGCAGTTATAAGCCACCCCATAAGGGTGCTGAGAACCAAACTCACATCATGCACATGAGGGAACCTTGTGTCTGAATCTGTGAGCTTTCCTCTTAGGCTATAAAGCAAGCTTCAACCAGTTTCAAGGAACGTTATTATGTAGGCTGTATTATTGACACATAATGAAACTGAATGAGAGTTGGCTATGTTCATGAAGGCCCACCCATTAAGAAAAATATATTTGAAAATAGTCGTGTCAAAGAATAAATCATACTGGGAACAGAAATACTTTAAACAGTGATAAAATACCATTAGCTGGGAGGCAGTCAAAATGGTTCTCTAGGAATTTATAGAAATGACAGATTGGAAATTAATGAACAAGTTAGCCAACAGAGGTCAGATTTCTTTAAAAATAGAATAAATTGGAATCAATTCAAAGACAGTTAGGAGAAAGGTTACACACAAAAGCATTGAGAAGACAAACATACAATAAAAATGACAAATAAAAGTGGACTCACAAAATAAACCTGAGTGTCTAGTGAGGAGAAAAGGACAAAATTCAAAATTAATAGCAGGAATGCAAAGGGGATGCAATTATGGAGAAGGCAGGGGCCGAGCGCACCACCACGGACGACCGGGAGAGATTTACGACGATCGTGTCAGTCACGAAATGTTTACTGCTTTCTGAAAATAACACATTTTCTGTCTTTGAATTCCATCTGTTCTTGCTTTAGAACAATAATATAGCCAGATATTAAAATCCACACAAGGGAAATATGAGAAATAAAAATTAGAGTCCACAGTGTCTGCATTCACAAACGTAATGTAAGACTGGTGCGTAAAATGTCGACAGGGGAAAGGTAAGAAACAGCGTCTGAAGGACAGCACGCCACCCCCGTGTGTCTGTTACAGGCGGGTACAAAAACGTCATTAGTTTTATTGTCTAACTCAGTGTGTATGTTTTAGGGAAGACGTGAAGTTGTTTACATTTCTTACTAAAGTCAAATCGACTAATGGGTTTCTATATTCCTGTAAAATAGCTGTCCCTGCTTTTGATGGGCACATAACAATTCCATGACTCGGTGGTTGTGAGGCCTCAACACTGCTACAAGCACGGGATCTCCACTCCATGTGTCTTCGGGGGCACGTTCAGTGTGGATCATGTGGTAGTTCTAGTTTTAAATTCCTGAGGAATCGTAACAATGGCCAGACAAATACTTTCTCGTGTGTGGAATCTAGATGCATGTTATGTATATACACAGGGAGAGAGGGGGAGGGTATTGTTAGGAGGTAAGGGAAAAAAGAGGGGGTAACAGAACTGGATATGATCACAGCCCATATGTATGTATGAAAACATCAAAATGAAACCCATTGTTTTATAGAATTAATATAAAACAATAAATTAAAATTTAAAATAGAAAATATCCAAACTACGAAAAATTATTACCAACATACAATACTACATATCTGAGTGTATGAAGACTCCAGAGAACAGCTCAAAACTCACTCTGCCTGTCCTTTGCATTGCCCATGGGCCCGTGATCACATTGCTTTGGGGTCTATAGTGTAGCTCAAAGCAAGGCTGACCACCTTGTGGCCAGGAAGCAAAGGAAGCACTCCACACTCTCCTTTGAAGGCATGTCTCAATGGCTTCACCTCCTCCCAGTGGGTCCCACATTCTTCAGCTTCCACCACCTTCCAGCAGAGCCACCCTGGGGACCAGCTGGGACATCAGGCCCATGTCTTACAGGTTCCATATCCCAGGAGTGCTGCCCTGGGGACCAGGCTTCCACAAGCCCTCGAGGAACTCAATCCAATCCACAGCACCCTGGTGTCACACCCCTTCATAGCCATCATCTACACAGTGCAGACTGCGTTCCAAACAGTGCTGTGCACTGTCTGCTCATCATCATAGGACTCAAATACTTCCTGATCAGCACTAGGGAGATATCCGAACGTTAACATGTGGGTGAATACAGGGGCCTTCAAGTCAAGGATCTAGATACAAACATCACATACCCATAAGGAAAACACATAAAACATTAAAAGAACAATTAAGATGGAAAAGAAGATGCAGCAAATGAATAAGATCCACGATAAGTCTCTGAGCTTCTTCTGTAAAAAGGCAAACCACTGAGAAGCTCAATTAGTCAGAAATACAGAAACAACTAATGCACACCACGGGGATTTGCCAAGGGGGTATAATTTTAAAACATAAACAAGTGTTTTAACAGCCTCATATGACTGGATGTGGAGAAGAGAATCTCAGAACAGAAGGGTTTCCTGGCGACAAGATGCTGATGCTGGTTATGTGAGCTGCCGATCAGTGCGAAGATTCGGGGCTTAATGTACACACCACTGTCTTCCTCCTGAGTTTAGCACAATCAAAAGAGAGAGCAGAGAGGGGAGGTGGATGGAGGGGGGTTAGTGGATGGAGAGAGAGAGAGAACACATGACCTAGTCTCAATACTGACTCACCAGTCAGATTATGTGGCCCAAAGGGCTTCCAACACCCTCTCCACCTATGGCCCACCAAAGCCAATCTTCAGCACACCGAGGGGTCTGTCACTCAGATACTCTCCCGGTCCTTGCCTGAAGAGAGAGAAGGACCACACCCCTGGAGTTTTGAGGTGGAAGAATAGGATGTCACCCCTACTCAATAGGAAAAAGGGGATGTCACCCCTACTCAGCAGAAGCCATCTCCTCCACAGGGAGCCACGAGGAAGGAACAGTGGCGGAGAAAGTGTCCTGCACCAGTGGGATGGGAACCCAAGGAAAGGAGTCGGTCCCCTGGGGCGTCTGGATCTGGATGGAACCCCAAAGGAAGAACTCTGCCCCCCCAAAGGGTGCCTTGTCTTGTTGGCGAAGTTCTTCAAGCTATGCAAGAGCACACAATAACAGTGCTAAAGAACGCCTCACAATACCTAGTGAGAAAATAGTAATAATAAAAACAATTTAAAGACTAATTAACAATGAAATGGGGACAGCTCATTTTAGAACCTAGCACAATCTTTCCTCCAGATTTCTCTTACAACTTGCATACCAAATTCCTCTGTGCACAGCTAGAGCAGAGGTCTGCAGAGAAAACCTTCACCATCACCACGTGAGCTTATGCCAGGAACGCAGCACAGGAAGTCAGTGAGTATAAATCATGTCAGTCAGGAAAGGGATGAAAACCATGTGATCATCCCAACAGATGCCAAGAAGGCTTTTGATAAAAGTCGGCGTGCATTGTCCATCTTCCATCCATAAGCACTTGGACACACACACACACACACACACACACACACACACACACACACACACACAATCCAAGATGGAGCTGCCTGCAGCAAATAGAGAGGCCACATTTTACCATACCTATGTCTCATACTGAATGAAACGTATTCTAAACTAATTGTTATTATCCTGAAATTTATTCATAGTGTCCTATATTTTTATTTGCTAAGTCTGGAAATCCTATGGAGAAGCTACATTCATTCATATAACATTCTATAACAAAGTGTCAGAGGCTGAGTAATATAAAGAGAATATATGTAATTTAGCCCACGGTTTCAAGGACCAAGAATGAAACACCAACATCTGCAAAGCTAAGGTAAGGCTCTTCTGTCCGTAGCACATCATGGCAGATGGAGTCAAGGTGAAACCGTATGAGAAAGAGTGATCACGTGATCATCAAGGGACCAAACACATGGTCACTCTGTGTGTGTGTGTGTGTGTGTGTGTGTGAGAGAGAGAGAGAGAGAGAGAGAGAGAGAGAGAGAGAGAGATCACGTGGCCACTATGAAAAGGGGAGGATCCTACCTTACTCTCTAACAGATTCTCTCACAATAACTACCAAAATCTCACAAGAACTATATGAAGGGGTGAGTGAGATGGATCAGCTAGTTAAGTGAGTTCAGTCCCCAGAACCAACAGAAGGAGAGAAATAACTCCCCAAAAACTGTTCTCTGCCTCTGTATGTTTGCTGTGGTACACACACACACACACACACACACACACACACACACACACACACAAATAATAAATAAAATAACATAAATAAATAAAACACTAAATAAATTAAAGAAGACACTAGAAGATAGAAAAGAGCCCCCCATGCTTATGAATCAGGTTAATTAATGTTGTAAAAATAACTATATCACTGAAGATTCAGTGAAATCCCCATCAGCATCCCAATGACATCTTTCACAGAACCAGAAAAGCATTCCTAGAATTCCCATGGAAGCACAAAAATACCTGGATAGTTGCAGCCATCCTGGGCAGCAAGAACAACCTGGAGGCAGGACACAGTTACCAAAACATCCTGGCGCTCACAAAAACAGACACACAGACAATAGAAGGACCCAGAAATAAACCTTCACAGTGGCTACAACCATCTGACCTTCAAGCAAGGGGCCTGGAACAGACCTTAGAGAAAAGATAGCCTCTTCACCAAACGGCGTGTGGAAAACTGGACATCTACATGTTGAAGAAACTAGGTTTCTATCACTCCCTCTATACAAAAATCAATTTGAAATGGACCAAAGACATCAGTGTAAGACCTGAAACTTTGAAAATGACAGAGAAGGGCTGGAGAGATGGCTCAGAGGTTAAGAACACCAACTATTCTTCCAGAGGTCCTAAGTTCAATTCCCAGCACCCACATGGTAGCTCACAACCATCTGTCATGAGATCTGGCACCCTCTTCTGTGTACATAATAAATAAATAAATCTTTAAAAAATAAAAGAAAGAAAAAGTGACAGAGAAAAACATCTCAAGACAGAGATGGAGCCATAGGCAATGACTTTCCTAAAGGGACTCTGACAGCCTGGCAGAGTTATTGTTAATCCCAACAAGCATTAACAAATGGGTTGCAGGAAACTGGCCCTTTAACCTGTGTCCTCAGTGAGAGAGTCTTCACTTGTCTGTGTGTGATCATCCAAGGGCTATGAGTCCCTGGACTAATTAATTCTCCTTCCCACACACTACTTCACCTGGATTTCTCACCTACCTGTTCCCATACACTTTGTTAATGATAAATTTCCTGAGGCCTTTTTTCCATCATCCCCAACTCAGTTTCACAGGGACCTCTATGGGACTTCAAAGATGCCCTCTGGCTCCCCTTGACAAGTATTGGCCAACTTGATGGGCATTTCTTCACAGGCAGTCTTCTATTTCTGGCTGCTTTGGGTATTCCCTTTGTCTCTGGTGTCCTCACAAGGCTGTGTTATGTCTAGGTGAGAGTTTCCTCTTAATTCCTCCTCTCAGGACTGTCCGACTATTTCTCCTAGAATTAGAAAATTCGTGTTACCCTCTAGGCTGGTTAGATTTTGTTGACTTGACACAAGCTAGAGTCATCTACGAAGAGGGATCCTCGACTGAGAAAATACCTCCATTAGATTGGGCCGGTGGCAAGTCTGTGGGGCATTTTCTTGATTAGTGTGGGTGGTGCCACACCTAGGTAGGTGGTTCAGGGTTCTATAAGAAAGCAGGCTAAGCAAGTCATGGGGAGCAAGCCAGTAAGCAGCACTCGGCGGCGGCCTCTGCTTCAGTTCCTGCCTCCAGGTTCCTGCCTTGTGTTCCTGCCCTGACTTCCCTCAGCAATGGAGAGTGACTTGGAGTTGTAAGCTAAAATAAACCTTTCCTGCCCAGGTTGCTTTGGGTCATAGTCCTTATCATAGTAACAGAAGTCAGGGTAGAACCTGTCTGTTTCAGTGCCGAGCTGGTCCTGTTATTGCTTCTCTCCACCTAGGGCCCCCTCTGAGCGTCTGCTGTGCGGGCTTCTCTCAGGCATGCTTCTGATGTCACCTCTATTCCCACATGTTCACCACCCTCCCTCGGCTTCACTAATGTCCCAGTTTGAGTCAGCTTCACTTTTTAACCTAACGAGTGAGGGTGTATCAAGTGTCCTTCTCTATGTCTTTAATTCCTAGATGTTCCCTCTTGATCTGTTTGAATCTTCCTTATCTTTTGTTTGTTTGTTTAATCTTTCCCATGTTTTTTAATTTTTCTTTAATCGCATTTGATAACATTACCTGTAACACTTGGGATTGTGTTGCCATGTGAATGTATAGAATGTACACATGTGTGTGTTCATGTGTGTGGAAGTGCACATGTGTGAGTAAAGGTGAGTAGACGCTAAAGGTCGACATCAGGTGTCTTTCTCTAGACTCTCCATCTTACGTATTGAAGCATGGTTTTTCACTTAACCAGAACCCACCAGTTCAGCTAGTCTAATTAGCTTGTCCAGGATCTCCTGTCTCTGTCTTCCATGCACTGCTGTTATAGTCGGATTGGCGTACCCACCGGCTTTTCCAGGGTCCCCACCCTTGCACGGCTCATGCTCTGCCCACTGAGCCATCTCCCCAGCCCTTCTCTTAGAAATGCAATCTTCTGTTGTGACACTTGCTCAGTCTATGTTTCAACTCAGATGGGCACTGTGGGATGTTGAGTACATCTTCCTCGAGGTTCACCTGTTGGAAATCCTTGTGTGCCATCACGGAAGTTATACAGATTTCCGTTGATTGGCCCAGTGCTCTGAAGAACCGCCAGCCAGGGTTGATTGCACCCTACTGTCTTAGGCTAGTGGCTTCAGGACAGTTAGTGTCATTTCAAACCCCAACCACACTCAGAGGAGAGATAGATACAAATTCTCATAAGCAACTGATCCTTCTGTTCAGAGTCCGGCCGGGGTGGACAGGCTTTCTGTGACGTCCTTGTGCCAATGGCGGGTCTGTCCCTGTTGTTGGTCTGTTTAATTGATTTGTTTTTTTCATCTTCACTTGTCCTTCAAAGGAGCGAAGTGATTAGTTTTTATTTACTTTCAGTGTGTGCACTCACGTGTGCATTCGTGTGTGTATGTGGGTGTGGGGGTGCTGTGCATGTCTGTATCTGTTCATGTGTGTGCCTGTGCTCATGTGTTTGTGTGGTGTGTGTGAGTGTGCATGTTTGCCTGTGTGCATACGTGTGTGAGAGTGTGCTATGTGTGCATGTGTGTGTATGTGAGTAAGCTGTGTGTGTGAGTGTATGAGTGTGCTATGTGTGCATGTATGTGTATGTGAGTAAGCTGTGTGTGTTTGCGTGTGAGTGTGCTGTGTGTGTGTGTGTGTGTATGTGTGTGTGTGTGTGTGTGTGTACACAAGTATCATCATACAGATGTGGAGGTCAGAGGACAACTTTCGGGAGTCAGTTCTCTCCCTCTGCCACAGGATCAGACTCAGGTTGTCAAGTTCGCACGTAAGAGCTTTTACTCACTGAGACATCTCACAGCCCCCCCTCCCACTATTTTGAGACAAGGTCTCATGTGTCCCAGGTTGCCCTTCAATTCCTGGTCCTCCTCCCAGGCACCACTCCCACCAGTACGTGCAACCCTGAAGTCCTGGGAATTGAACCCAAGGAGCCACACCTGCCGGGCAAGTGCTCCTGTAGAAGGGTCCCCTTCTAACTTAATGAGCTCCGTGATTCCTTTGTTTCTGCTTGACCATGAAAAGGCGGGAGCTCCTTAGGTGGACACTAGGGTGACCTCCTTCCCGCTGACCCATGCTTCCCAGCAGCCTCCGCTCAACCCAGCTGTGCTTTCTTTCCCTGTCCTGGTTTCTACTTCCCCGTCAGCTTGGGTCCTTATCTTTTCATGAGTATTGTTTATTACATTTGTTAGGTTTTAGCCAACATTCCCCAGCATCGAGAAAAAGACTTTTTGAGCTTATCTCATCCATCAGATCATGGGAAACAGGTGTGAAGTGTGTTCTGACACTGAACTCTTTTAAATGCTGCAGAGCTCACTCCAGGGCTGGGACACATCCATCCCTGCCTGCTGAGGAGTCGCATCTCAGCATCTCAGTATCATCTCTGCCATCTCCAGGCCTCTGCCACTGAGATTTGTCCATAATTTTGACTTTTGTAAAAGAGACGTCTCTGTATATGCCTATCAATGGGTAAATGAGATGATAAAATTAATACTGAAAGGAAACAGGTACCAAGTTGGTGACAGTTGTTCAGGTCTTTCATGAACCAAGTGTTTGGGCATTTTTAAAACACCAGCTGGGGAGATGGTTCAGCTGGTACAGCAGTTACCTTGCAAGCCCAAGGACCTGAGTTCAATTCCCAGCACCCCTGTAAAAAGCCCAGTGTGGTACACACACCTGTAATCTCAACACTGCGGAGGTAGAAACAGAAGGATCCTTGGGGCTCCAGGCCTGGCCAGCCAGCCTAGCTGAATAGGGGAGCTCCAGACTCAGTGAGAGACCTGCACACACATACGAACACGTACACACAGAATAATTATCGACCACCAGCATTAGCTCCCGTGGAGGTATACACTGTCTCAAGAGATCCCAGAAGCAAAATCAGAGCAATGTCTCCAAGATTAGCCCGGGTCTCCCAACAGCTAAAAAAGCCCTACCACACCACTTACCTCAGGGAAGTTCGGTATCCGTGTTACAAATGAAGGAAAGTCAGGCAGCAGAACCAGGGTCGACCTCTGTAACCAGCAGAGCCCGAAGCAGCTCTGGCCACACTCAGCAGGAAATGCTGACCATCATCGGTTCTCGCCAAGCACAAGAGTGGTGAGCGTGCTGTGCTGGCTGCACTGACTCGGACACCACCATGAGGTGCCGCGGCAATGATACACACTGAATTACGCAGAGCTCATGCTGCAGCCCAACGGGGTGCTGTGTGAACTCTGAGTGGTGCCAACCAAGGGCGGACTCCTGTAGAGCATGTCAGGAGAGAGCCCTAAACATCCAGGTTAGGAAGCAGATACCAGATGTTGAGTCTGGACAGTTGAGCACTCCTGGAGGAGCATCCTGCTGGCGCCTATGACACAGACTGATCCAGTTGCAAAGCAAGGATTGCCTCGGTACTGCCACAGCATAGAGAGTGTGTGCTCTCACCTAGCTTCCTCCTGCTTTTCCTTCCTCGGCCAGGATGGCTTTAGCTGGACCGTAAACTCAGCACCGGCAGACCAGTTGAGTTACTGCACTGTCTGAATCGGCCCCTCGAGGAGGAGGAACAAAGACTGGCCCCAGACAGAGGTCTTACTATTCCAGTCTTAGCTTCCCAGTTTCTAGTGGAAAGGCAGAAGTCTCAGCCTAAACAGGTTGTTGGATGGCTGTGAAGAAGAGCTGACTGCCATTCTCTGCCTCCTCAGTAGCCAAGCAGGGAGCATCTCCACGGAGACCCACCAGAACACGTCAGCAGAGGTAGGTCCCACGGGACAGCTGAGGCCCATGAGGGATGTGATGCCTATCCTGGTTTGCTTTCCTGTTGCTGTGATAAGCAGCCTATATAGTCCATCACTAAGGGACGTCAGAGCAGGAACCTAGCTGGCGGCAGGAACTGATGCAGAGACCATGGAGGAACTCTGCTTACTGGCTTGCTCCCTCTGGCTCGCTTAGCTACCTTGCTTATAGAACCCAGAACCACCTGCCCCGGGGATGCTACCCCCACCACAACAAGGTGAGCCCTCCTACATCAATTAGTAATCGAGAAAATGCCTTCCAGGCATGGCCACAGGCCAACCTGATCTGGACAATTCCTTCAGTTGAGATTCCGTCTTCCCAACATGACTCTAGGTCTGTGTCAAATTGGCAGCTGATAGTAACTATGATACTTGGAAATTGGTCTATGGGTCTATAGAGACGTGAGCTGGAGTCCATGAGGATCAGGTGCAGGAGACCCTGAGAACTGGTTCTGTCTGTATCCAGTAGATATTGCAGCACCTGCTGCAGTGGTCAGAGATGGCCAGGCAGCTCCGCAGGCAGAGGGGAGGCTTGAATGAGCACTGGAGGTGAGTGCCAGTGTCCTGTTGGGTCTAACGCCCTCTAAAGGGGTTAGGAGGTATGTGCCAGTGTCCTGTTGGGTCTAACGCCCTCTAAAGGGGTTAGGAGGTGTGTGCCAGTGTCCTGTTGGGTCTAACGCCCTCTAAAGGGGTTAGGAGGTGAGTGCCAGTGTCCTGTTGGGTCTAACGCCCTCTAAGGGGGTTAGGAGGTGTGTGCTAGTGTCCTGTTGGGTCTCACGCCCTCTAAGGGGGTTAGGAGGTGAGTGCCAGTGTCCTGTTGGGTCTCACGCCCTCTAAGGGGGTTGGGAGGTGACACATTGATCCTGAAGGCTGCTCCAGCCCAGCTCTTGACTGAGCCCCCCATCTCTTATGACATTTTCCCAGCAGTAATTCATCCCCTTTGCAGCTTCCATGCAGTAAAGGCTTGGAGAGTGCTGCTGTGAGCAGACCACACTGTAGGCTGGACTTCAGCCAGCCCCATCCTGAGCATGGTCAGTCCAGT